CCTAGCCTGCATGGTGCCTTCCGCACCCCCCTCCCACGTTGTTCCTGGTTCCCCGGCTCCTGTCCCTCCCCCCTCCCCACCTCCTGCCACCTGCCCTCCACTCCTGCCACCCCTCCCTCACCCCAGGAACTAGAGGTGGTGACTCATGCCTTCAACCTCAGTATTTGGTGGTGGTGATGGTGGGAGGTGGAGGCGAGCTATTCAAGAATTCAAGATCATCCTTTGGCGACACAGGATGTTCAAGGCTGGTTGGGGCTACCAGAGAATCTGTCTCTCCCCCTCCCCTTTCCCCCCCCACACATACGTACGGGAGGGAGTGGGAGTGGGAGGAAGGGTGGTGGTCTGGAGACACAACTCAAGCCCTTAAGAGCACGTCCAGGATCTCAGTTCCCAGCACCAAGTCAAGTGCTCATAGCCCCTGAAATAAAAACTTCAGGAGGATCTGACGCCCTCTTCTGGCCTTCCAAGGCAGGGCATTCAAGTGTCATACAGACACACAATGATACAAATCACAAGTAATTTAAAGTAAAATAAAATAAAAGACTACAATTTAGAGAAAAATTTCAACTGATGAAAAGAAATTAAATCTTTAGGAAGAGGTGTTGGATAAGTGGGAAGAGGAGGCGGAGCCTGTAGATAGGGGCGGGGCTGGCTGACCGATAGCGCTGGGTAAAAGTCCTGTGTGCACAGAGACCACGCCCGTCTCAGTCATACGTGTGTAGCATGGATCCCGTTACCTAGAAGGTGCTCTGAGTCACTAACGGGGTGACTCTAGATTGTGAGAGCGGGCTATAAATAAATCTTCTGTATCCTCTGTGAAGTGAATCACAGCAGGCTCCCAACTTGCCAGAGTTCTTCCGAGCTCCTTAGGTGTAGCAGAATTTTAGAAGAGCCATCGCACCTGCCATTTGCTGACACTGCTGAGGATTAGGAAACAGATTCAGATTAACAGGGTCTTCTGGTTTAAACCTCCAGCAGACATCCCTAACGATTAAAGTTCTCCCTCTCGGCATTCACAGTGGCAGACATCACTGCCTAATGATGTCACCACACCCAGGGAGCATAGCCAATTTCCCAGAATTCTTAATATAGTAAGCACTCTTAAATGCTCACTACCGGTCTATTAAAAATAGTAGCTGGGGGTTAGAAAGACAGCTCAGGGATTCACAGCGTGAGCTGGCCTTACAGAGGACCCAGGTTTAGTTCCCAGCATCCCATCTGGTGGCTTGAAACTGCCCGTAATTCCAGCTGCCAGGGATCCAACATGTCCTCTGGCATTTGCATGAACGCTGTCTGTGGGGTCATAGCTATACTCCATCATGTGTCTGCTTTAGCATGTGTGCCCCAGCAAAACATCCCTGATGTCACTAGTCACTAACTTTCCAGAGAAACCAGAAGTTTCCACTCCAGTCCTTAATGTATATATACACGGTAAGGAGGGGCCTCGTGTACCTGTTCGTTTCAGGGACTTCCTCTGCTCACTTCCTGAGCTTACAGAGATTCTCTCAGGATGGGGAGGGTTCTTACTTCCCTTTGCTCTAAGGCGTCTCTCTTCAGCCCCCACCTCCCCACCCCCACTGCTTCTGTCTTGGGGACTCAGAGTCAACCAGAGAGGACTGACACCACGGAGCTGTCACTCAAACATTGACATAACAGTGCTTTTGATAGCTATCGAGGAAGGGGTCTCTAGGCTTTTTCTCTCCCTAGATGATGCAGGTGTAGACCAGATTAGACCAAATTAAAAGTACGATAGAGTCAGGTTTATTAGGCATTGCTCCTGGATGGGTTCATCAGTCCTGAAGAACAAACAGGGCTGGAGAAGTGCTGCACCCTGGCTAGAGCGGGGAAGTTTTATAGACTGTAGGCAAAGGGTGATGACGTGTCAGCTTTAAGTTGGGTCTGTGCCCAAGTATGGTCAACAGCTGAGCACCTGGGCACCGGATTTGGGTGGCTGGCAGTATCGAGGAAGCAGGTTTCAGGAGCTGCCAAGAATGCAGAACTGGACTGTTGGAGTTGTTCCTTTGTTTGGAGTTTTTCAGTGTAGGCAGCGTTTGGGGAAAGAGGGCAGACTGGAATTCCCAGCTTGTGCAGTGCTGAGCAGGTTGTTGTTTTACCAACAAGGCAGGTAAAAGGAGGACGTGTAGGCCAAAAAAGGGGTAACCATTCTTTTTTTGTTTTTGTTTTTTGTTTTTCGAGACAGGGTTTCTCTGTGTAGCCCTGGCTGTCCTGGAACTCACTCTGTAGACCAGGCTGGCCTGGAACTCAGAAATCCGCCTGCCTCTGCCTCCCAAGTGCTGGGATTAAAGACATGCGCCACCACTGCCCAGCTCATGTTGGGATCTTAAAAATTAAAAAAAAAATATTTTATTACTTTTGGGTCAGGGTCCTCCTCCTCTCCCTCCTCCTCCTCTTCTCCTAAGACTGGATCTCATGTAGCCCAGGCTGGCCTCAAACTCACTATGCAGCATGTATACTGGTTATGATTTGGACACTAGCCAGGATTACAAAGTGAGACCATGTCTCAGAAACCCAAACCTGAAGAGCCCCCACAAAATGCCACTTATGAGAGCACCGTGGATATCTGGGGGTCTGCCGTGACCTTCCCTTTTCTAGACACACTGGCAATCTACATTTTTATTCAGAAAATAAGCAAGAACAACTTGTATACTTGGAAGGAATATTTTGTGCTTTGCTCAGTTTCCAAGGCAGAGCAATACGTTCTCTGCCATCCCAGGACCTGCGACGGCATCCTGCATCTCTGTGTCCATCCCAGCAGGAAACCAGGGACGTCTGTAACCATTCTGGCTTTTCTATGCCCGTCCCAGCTCCCAAACAGAATAACCACACAGAGACTTGTGTTTACTAATAAATGTCGGTCTTGTGCTAGGCTTGCTCCCCAGCTAGCTCCAAACTTATACTACCCGGCTTTACTACTCTCTGCCACATGGCTAGTTATCGCACCTCAGGTCCATACATCCAACTTCCTCTGAGTCTGTGTGGCAAATCTCTCGGAATTCTCTCTTTCCCAGAGTTTCTCTCTCTCTCTCTCTCTCTGCTAGATGTCCCATCTTACTACCCTGCCTTTTGCTATAGGCCGTAGGCTTTTTATTTTAACCAATCAGAAGGCGCCTTGGGCAGGAAAAGGAGGACAGAGACACATCTTCATACAGTGTACAAAAACATCGCTCCAACAGATGTTACATGTCCTAAGTAAGCCCGTCAGCTAGCGGAGTTGGTCAACTCCCAGCGACAGGAATTTTGGGATAATTCAATGAAAGAGAAAGGAGGAGAGAGGGAGGGGGCTGTGAAGAAGACACAGCATGTGAATTCCTGGAGAGCAAGACTGTCAGAAGAGAAGGTGGAGATTGAGAGCAGGAAGAGGAGGAGCCAACTCCTCTACCTCTTGATCTGGGCCGGCCATGTGACTTCCTCCAACCAAAAGGATGGCAACGATGGTGTTCAGGTCTCAGTCAGAGGCCTTGTGATCGGTTGAGGTTTGCCTTTCTGAGCATGAGAGAAGATATACCAAGGAGTGCCAGCTGTCCCCACTGATTCTACCCTTCCAGACAGACAGTGGACCCAGATGGTGCAGCAAGCCGCCACCTGCAGAGCCCAACCTACAGCCCAAGCCATAGAGCTGGAATCTGCACAAACGGCTGTTGCTGCTGTTTCAAGCTGTTCAATTCCAGAGGTAATTCGTTACCTTGTAGACGCTGACCGATACACCCTTGGATTCTGGGAAATCTTCTTGACTTCTGCCAAATCCTCCCTCCTGCTACCCCTCCCCTCTCTTCACCGAAGCCTGGGAGTTTCTTTTGTTTGCAGTCCCTCTGAGGCTGAAGAAGACAGTGTTCCTGGATGGTGGACTGTGAAGATGGGGTGTTGGTGCTGGCCGGCAGGAGGACGGGAAAGGCTTTGTTTAGCTGGGGACAAATGGGAGGGAGGAGGGAGCTTGACAAGGGCCACGTCATCCTGTCCTGAGACTCTTGCTCTGGGATCGGCTTCGGGTAGAGATTCATGCGCTCATGGCTCAAGTGCACACTCAATGAGTTCTGCAGGAAAGATTGGAAGGGCAATGGAGGAGGGAGGGAGGGAGAGAGGGAGGGAGGGAGGGAGGGAGGGAAGGAGGGAGGGAGGGAGGGGGAGAACATCACTGTTACATGTTGCTCTGTGATCCTCCAAATTCACATATGGAGGCCCTAACCCTTATTTTCAGTTTTTAGGTGTGTGTACGCGTGCGCGTGCTCTGGCATGGTCACCTTCCGCCATGTTGGTTCCTGGAGATCAAACTTAAGATGCTCAGGGTTGGCAAATTCACCAATTTGCCAACTGAACCCTCTCTGCTGCTCAAGGCTTTGGTTTAGCCATCTTCTCTCTCTGCTGGGTGGGTCCCCTCCCAGTCCGGGTTCACTGGCATCCCTTCCTGATGCCCCTCCCCCTCCCCAATGTGCCCCATCCCCCTTCCCGAGTTTCCATCCTTGATACTCCCTTCTTGTTCCTCATGTTTTCCTCCCTCACAGGACACAAGTGGGATGGGATGTGAGGATGGGATGTGAGGCTCACAAAGCCCACCCCTGCTCAAAGGTGGTCCAGACTCTTGCCGTTCTGTGAGCTGGGTGTGGTTATGACCATCCCCATTTTCCAGATGGATACACTAAGCACTTCTCCACAGCTCTCTTAAACAGGGATGTGAGCCACAGCCACCAAGCAAGCACTTATAGCTTCTCTTTGTCATTTCGGGTATTAGTGAAGCAGATAGGCACCTCTAGGTTCTGTTGGGTTGGTGGGTTTTTGGTTTGGTTTGGTTTTTTTTGTCAGAGTTTAAATTGTTGCTGCTCCCTGGCTGTGTGACTTGGAATTAATGTCTTGACTTCTCTGTGCCTCATCTATAAGGCTGGGAATAGAATTGAGCTTCTTCCACTGGTAGAGCGATTCAAATCAAGTTCAAGTGGGCTGGCGTGAATGTCCTCTAGTGCACCAGTGGGAAGGACAGAATTACCTTAAGTGCCAGGACTAAATATGAAGCAGACAGCTCCGACCAGTGCTAGGCCTCCCAGGGTGACCGCCACGACGAGGCCTATGGCGGATCCTCCTGAGAGCGACAGGTAGTCGGTCGGCTTCATTGGATAGGCAGCTGTGGGGGCCGGAGCTGTGGGAGCCGCGGTGGCTTCTGGGAACCGAGGGGAGATGAGATTTTAAGGAGCCACCCTCCACCTCCACAGCCCCATTCCTGCCAACTCATAACTCAGGCTTCTCTGCACACTGTGGGCTCCCCACACCCGTCTCTTTCTCCTGTTTCCAAGTTTCTCTCCCTCCCTCTCCCTCCCTCCCTCTCTCTCTCCCTCCCCCTCTGCCCACCCCTCCTTCTGCCCACCCCTGTGGGGCAGTGGCCCGTGCCGCCAGACAGAAAACTTGGTCAAGTTCAGCAGATTCAGAAACCCCGGTAATTCTCCTGAGAATGGTAGGTGTTTAATCTACTCTGTTAATCTACCACGTTCCTGTCCTGGAACACGTGGCCATCACACCCCATGGAGAAGACCAAGACAATCCGTCATCCGGGGACAACGCCCAAAGCCCCTCCACATGCAGAGGAGGTTTCCCTATCATCTCAGACCAAACCAATAGATAGCATGTACCTTTAGACCCCGACCCACAGCAAAAATGTATATAAGACCCCATCCACACGAAATAAAGTACACGAATAATTCACCAAGCACTGTCTGAGAGGCTTACGGAGCTCTAACACCTTGGGGAAGAGAATTCTCTCCCGAAGCCTCTTCCTGTTCGCGGCCCCGCCCTCTGCATCCTGCCTGCCTGTTGCACCCGGTAGGCCTGGCAACCTGACTCATTCCAGCTCCCCCTCCCTCTCGGAGAGCCACAATGCTTTGGCCGCTCCAGCCCGGCCAGAGCGCTGCAGACCCCTGTGGGTAGCGCCCCTGTACGTGGACTGGCACATCCTCACCTCTTTCTGTCCCTTTCTTGCCCAGAGTCTGCATAATCAGCTCAGGTAGCACCTCCACAGTTCCCTCATCCCAGTTCTGCCTACTCTGGTCTCTGCGGTGGGGGTGCTCTGGTCTCTGTGGATATCCCTCATTAGTTCCCCAGATGGAGCGGTCCTGGTCACTAGGGTGGCCACAGCTTTGCCTGCGGTGGGCTGGGGGCAGAAACGGACAGGCTGCTCCCTGAAGCTCATTGGCCAGCTGGTCTAATTGAATCCATGAACCCTAGACCCTGTCTCCAAAAAGTGAAGTTAGATTTAGGGGTGTAGCCTGGTAGGCTGCGGCGTTCCAATGGGTGGCAGAATACGTGTCCACTAACTGAAGAAGAGGGGTCGGGGGAGGAGAAAAACTAGGGAGGGAACTGAGGAGGGCATGGGGTGGATATGATAAAAATACATTGCATGCAGTATGGAATTCTCAAAGAAAAAATTAAAAAATGTTTTTAAATGGAGAACAGTCAAAAGATGCCCAGTTAGTGTCAAACTCTGGGTTTGTTATGTAGGAGTTATAATGGAGATTATACCTTTCCCTTTTGGAGGGAAATGACTCTATGATTATTACGTTTTTTTGAGACAGTTTCTCTGTGTATCTCTGGCTGTCCTGGACTGGTTCTGTAGATTCAGGCTGGCCTCGACCTCAGAGATCCACCTCCCTCTGCCTCGCACAGAGTGCTGGGATTAAAGGTATGAGCCACCACCTGAGAAACTTCTTAAGATACAGGATGTAAAAGCAAAGTGGAACAAAAGGAAGTCCTGGGGGAGGGTGGGTGTCAAGGCCTCCATCCTGGAGAGAAAAGGTCTGTAAGACAGGAAGCAAGCAATTCAAACAGCTTCAGGAAGTCCAGAACCAGGCTGTAGGCTCTTGGTAACCACGTGTAAGTAGTGGCATCTGACAAGCTTTTCAGATAAGCCCGGTTGAGAAGACACCCTCAGGCAAACTTGAAGGACTCCAGCCAGCCTCGGCAAGGCTAGCATGGTTCTGGCAGGCCTTGCCCTTCTCCCCTATTCCCTCTGCCTTGCTAAAAATTGTTAGATTACATTCCTAAAGCTAAAAAGTCTATTCCCTTATTTGATCACTTCTTCTCCCTGAGGCTGACTCTCTGGATCCAACTATTACAATACTGAAGTCCTGTTATCAAAGCTGCCTTTGGCTGCCCTAATTAACATGCCCAACTAAAATTAAACACCTCATCCTAATGCAGGGCTTCCCCTTGTGCCTTTATAAATAGCCATTTTTCCAAACAGGGTCACCTCTGTTTCCTTTCGATCCAAAGGCGGTCCTTTGTTCCTCTGGGACACATACCCCCTCCTCCTCTCCCTTCTTCCCCTCCCCTTCTCGGCTGAGAACTTGGTCTTGGGGTGTCGTGTGCTGAAGCTGAGGCGCCAGAAAGGATACACCAGACCTTGTGGAACTGCCTCCTTGCTGTCCTCCAGGTCCCCAGTTTTGTAAGCCGTCTCTCGCGCTGGGGTGGGCTTTGGTGACGAAGCTGCTGTCTTTGAGTCCTATGTGTTCCTGCTAGTAACTCCTCACCCACGTTTATGTAAGGAACCCCAGTAAAACTCATCCCTTCATCAAGTTCGACTTTGGTGGTGTAAGGGGAAGGGTATTGGCTAAGGACCCCCCAAGACCAAGTCTGTCATATATAAAATGGGTCAATGAAGAGCTGGGGAGATGGCTTACTGGATAAAGTACTCTCTGTGCAAAGAAGGACCAGTGCTGGGACCTTCAGGACTCACATGTAAATGTCAGGCAGACGGCCTGCTTCTAATTCCAGTGCCTGGGAGGGTGATGAGGAGTCGGAGACAGGAGCCTAGAGCAGGCTGGCAGCTAGAGTAGTTTCAGTGGGCTCCGGGTTCGGCTGAGAAACTCTGCTTCAGTGAACAAGGTAGGCAGCCATGAAGGGAGACCCATCAGTCTCTGGCCTTCATCCGTACAGAGAGACATGCAGACATTTGTAGAACTTTCCGGTTTCAGTTTGAACTTAAATTTAAAAGAACCCCACTGTCCCAGGACACATCCCAGGAGGGGCACATTCCTTAGTCAGAGGACACTTGCTAGATTCACGTTCAGAGGAAGAAGGGAGACGCTGATTAACATTCCTCAGACCACAGGGGAGGGAATCCACCTGTGGGTGAGGAGGGCCCAGAGCGTAGACACATTCTAGGAATCAGGAAGCTGGGCCCTTAACGTAATAAACTTGGGCAAATGGAAGACACTCATTGTCATAACCCGAGTCACCTAGAGGTCAGACGTTGTAGTTTCTCCTCCTGAACTCTGTATAAGAACTGCTCCCAGCTTTCATTCGGGGCTCTCTTGCCTGCATGCGAGAGAGTCCTAGTGCACTAGTTTCATTAAACCTCATGTGATGGCAGCGAGTCCCGTCCGTGCGTCTCTGTGGGAGTGTGTCCCCTGGTTTTGGATCTTAAGAGTCCAACAATGCATGCATAAATACATGGGAGAAAATTTTAAAAAAAGGCTAATAAGCCACAACCTACCATGTAGAAGGAAACATGGAGTGACTTTTGGCTATAAAGAACTGGGGTGGCGCCAGGAGGTGGTGGCACATGCCTTTAATCCTAGCACTTGGGAGGCAGAGGCAGGCGGATTTCTGAGTTCGAGGCCAGCCTGGTCTACAGAGTGAGTTCCAGGACAGCCCAGGCTACACAGAGAAACCCTGTCTCGAAAAAAACCCAAAAGATATCTTTATTACATTTTTTAAAAAGTTATTTTTATTTTAAATGTGTTTGTGGGGGTGTGGGAGATGCTTAAAGATATCAGAAGACAGTGTGTAGGGCTGGTTCTCTTCTACTTCTGTGAGTCCTGAGGACTAAACTCAGATCACCAGGCCTGGTGACAAGTGCTTTTTACCCACTGAACCATGTCACTGGGGGGGTCCTAGGCAGGGGCTCCACTGAGCCACGCCCCCAGCCCCTCACTGGGGGATTCTAGGCAGG